AAGACCTGGGAAGAGGTCACACATCAGTCACATCGTTAAGCTCCCAAATCAAGCCATCCCTGAAGTCCAATCTACTCCTGGGGTTTTCTCTTACTTGAGCCACTACATCTTCTTGCTTAACCCATTGTGGGCTAGGTTTTCTGTCACTTGTCACTAAATGATAGAGAAATATGTCAAACTCATATGTGTTTTCTGCAAGCAAAGAGAAATCACCTCTATATAACTTAAGGAAAGAAAAGAAATTTGGGATTAGGGATGTGCCGTGGCTCACAGAACCAAAGGAAAAGCAGAAGAAGCAGGTCTCGAAAAGGACATGTACCTGAGTGGTCCCTGGGAATGCAGATAGCAGGAACGATGGGCAGCGACATCACCAGAGCACTGCCCTATAATGAACCAGCACTGACCATCTACTACCCCTGAGTCACTTTACTCACGGTTCAGATTAGCTGCCCGGCCGGAGGTGGCTCAGCAGTTGAGCGCCGACCTAGGATCCGGGCGATCGGGGTTCGATTCCCGGTCAGGGCACATGCCTGGGTTGTGGGCTCCATCCCCAGTCGGGGGCGTGCAGGAGGCAGCTGATCAGTGACTCTCTCATCATTGATGTTCCTATCTCTCTTTCTCCCTCTCCTTTCCTCTCTCTGAAATCAGTAAAGATATATATTTTTTAAAAAAGGTTCAAATTTTCTTGGGAAAGAAAGAGCGAATGAAAGAGAAAGAGGGAGTTCATTTAGCCTTACTCAAGTCTCATGCCTAACCCTTGTCCACAGGAAGGCAGGACACCTGGATTGATAGTCCCCCAAGACTACACACAATCCAGGCTGGGTAATTCCCCAAAGCAAAATCTGTTTTAAGCACTTTGCATATATTAACTCATTTAATCCTCAGAGTAGTCCTTTGAAATGAGTACTATTATTATTAGCTCTATTTTGCAGATGATGAAACTGAGACACAGAGAGGTAAAGTAACTTGCTTGTGGTCACACAGCTGGTAAATGATGAGCTGGGATGCAAACCCAGGCAGCCTGGCTCTGGAGTCTGTGCACTTAACCCATGGCACTATAGGGCTTCAGCAGCAGGAGAATGAAGGCAGGGCAGGCAAAAACACTGCAGGGAACACTCAAGGGGGGAATTATGGGGAACTTCCACTCTCTCTGTATCATTATTTTAGCCACCACGTAGTAACCAAAAAAAAAAAAAAAAAAAAAAGAGAGAGAGAGAGAAAGATAATAGATTTCTATTTTGGAAAATTAAAAAAATCCTGCTTAGCCAATAGGAATAAGAGAAGGAGTCCAAAGCTGGTGATCTCACTCTCTCCCAGACACAGAAGACTGTGAAATATCTAGGACCCAGAGGAATTCCAGCTGTCACCAGGCTGCACTAGCCAAGGCTGAGGAAACCCAGGGAGGGAGTCAGGAAGGCATTATCCATCATAAAGGCACTGTTTGGGACCAAGAGGAGGAATGCTAGCACTTTGGTGAAGCAAATAGAAGTGGCCACTGACTGCTGACCTCTGCCCTCACCGAAAACCCTGCTGGGCTCAGTTCCCTCCTTGCCTCTCTTTAGGGCCACCCGCACAACCACACTGTTCCTTCTTCCACGCAGCCTGCTCTGTTCTCACTCTGCACGGCCTGCTCCCTCAACAGTGTGGAACAGGTGTTGCCAAGGCTCCAAGCCTGAGAACAACAAGGCCACAACAAAGCTCCAGAACTTAAACCTCATTCCTCTGGCTCAGCCTTTAGCTGCAGAAAAGTGGAAACCCCAGCTCTGTTCTGGACCCCACCCCTTCCCAGGCACACAGATCAGTCAGTGGTTAAAAGGGCCGGGCTCTGGAGCCAGACCCAGGTTGGCATCCCAACTCCATCGCTAACTGGTTGTGTTACAATGAACGGGCAAGTTGTGTAACCGCTCTTAGCCTCCATCCATTGCTATGAAATTAAATAATGATACCAGGGCTGAAATTCAGGCTCTATGTACTTGTACAGCTGAACTGGTTGTTAATACATCAAAATACTTCCAAACTGACTAGTAAATAGTAAATAATTAGCAGTAGCCATGGGCCCCTGTCTCCCTATCTTTTCTCCTGCCTGCTCCCCTTGATCTCGTAAACAAAGTGTTGACTCTTGGCAGAACAGAGACATATAAGTCCTTGATCTAGCCCTAAGGCCAGGCATCAGGTAATGCTCATGTCTGAAGAGGGGTGTTAGATATTTTTAATATCAACCCTGGCAGTGGTCATCCCTGGGGTTGAGTTGGTGCAGATAAAGGACTTGGCAGAAAGTCTGGTACACAGTGAAACAGCTCAGTCAATGTCAGCTGTCATTGTAAACATCAAACCTAAAGAACAGAGGCGGGATCAAGATCAGGGTCTCAAGTATCATGAGCCGGTGAAGATGAGTTATAACTGACAGTTCAGAAAGTCATAGGCCCTGAGATGATTCATGGGTGAGGCTGCATGGGTGGTCCTGGCCTGCTTTAAAGAGCCAGAGCAGAACCAATGTATATATCCTGCTTCACCAACTGCCTCTTGCCTTCTTCCTTCCCCTGCTTACCTGGGATTCCTTGATCCCATGCTAGATTCCAGGGCCAGAGTGGGGATGTCAGGAGAAGCCACACACTGGCACTCTTGCAGGTCAGGAGCGCTTCTCCTTGTGTTCACTACTACCAGCTCTATTGCTGCTGTTGGAATCCCATGTCTTGTTGGCCCAAGACAGAGAAGCTGCTCCCAGGAGGCTGGGCTTTGCCTTTCTAATGCCTTGGGGAATCAGAAAGAATATTTCAATCCAAGGTCCCTCCCCATAAAGACCTGAAGTATCTTAAAGAGAGGCAGTATATGCACTGGCTAGGAGTGTACGCTCTGGAGCCAGACTGCTTGGGTTCAAATCCCAGTGCTGAGCTTTACTGGCTATGCAAACTTGGGCTAGTCACTTAACTGCTCTGAGCCTCAATTTCCTCATCTGTCAAATAGGAGTAATAATAGTACCTGCTTCATAAAGTTCTCAAGAGGAAAAAACTAGGTAATACATATAAAGTGTTAGGATAACGCTGACACAAAGGCCATTCTCATTTATGTTTGTTATTGTTAAGGAGCTCACAAGGGTAGTGGAGCAATCAGATTCATGCCCACATAATTCTGTTCAGGGTGACAGTCTTTCTTCACCCTGCTAGTTGAAATTCTTCCCCTGCTCCCCTGGAATTCCTGTACCAGCTTCTGCATTTTACAAACTGGGAGGCCCAGAGAGAGAAGGATCTTGCCCATGGTCATGTGTGGCATCGTTGACAAAGATGGGATCCATGGAGTTTCAGATACCACTGGCAGCATCCCCTGCTGCCTCTCCCCGCTTCCTCGGGCCTTGGAGTATGGTTGTCTGTAAGCAGGGTGTATTCTGGCCCACCTATGGGGTCCCCAGAGCAGAGAGAGTGCTCATGAAGCGAAGAGTCAGGGCTTTCAAACACCTGTCCCTCAGCAGTGACCAACCAAAGGGGCCAGGATGTGCCTTGTGCCTGCTAACTGGAGCCCCAGCTAGTGCTGTCTTGCTGCTAGGGTCTCAGAGAGAAGACATAGCCTGTAGCCAGGAGGATGGGACAGCAAAACGTGTTCAAGGAGGCATGGAGAGAGAGCGCGCGCGAGAGCGAGCGAGCGAGAAAGAGATCCATTGGCTGCTCCCCAGAGAGCCTGGACGGGGAGTTTCTGGGACCGGCCGGAGAAGCTTCCTCTCCACTCTTGGCCGGCAGCTCTTCAGCCCCCCTACCGCCCCGCCCACCTCAGATGTTGCTCCTTCGGTGG